GATTTAAAAGCCTTTTTTAAAAATTTACCAATTATTTTGAGTATGATATCAATGATTTACTCCAAATACATGCCAGACGTATCGGTCAAAGGACTTTAATTGGGTATTTAAACATAACTCAGTCAAATATAAAACCGGAGGGTTTTTGTGGCGGTTGTAACTTGATTTAAAAGCCTTTTTTTAATTTACCAACTATTTTTGAGTATGATATCAATGATTTACACCAAATAAATTAAAAAAAATTCAGATGTATTTTCTTTTGTGCAAACTGTTCTGTAAACGTTTAATATTTTTGATTGAAATTAATAAAAATAAGGACGGATCCCACAAAAACCCAAGAAGAAGAATAAGCTGACGTCATCATATGCGACACTTACACTCCGGTGAGTAGAAACCTGCATCTGCCAAAATGTTTTTGTACTCTAAAACCAAAAATAACTCCAAAGTGTCACGTTATAAAGTTACTGATTGTAGTTTTAGGACTTAATGGCAGTAGAACTGTGATGCAATTGGTTGAAGACACGTTTGTAACTTTTTTTTTGCCGGAGAATATACGGTGGAAGGGTTAAATTAGCCTCTTGTACCTGTGCTTAATACGTTTAATTAGCCGTGATAATTAAACGTATTAATTATCACGGCTAATTAAACGTGATAATTAGCCGTGTTGTTGTTGGCAACAACAATGCTTGTTGCCACTTTGTACAATTGGAGGGTTCCTAAAAACATCAGGCTGTGATGATCTTTAAAGTTTTGTTTATGAATCCTGTCTGAATACACTGATTGCAGGTAGGTCATTTACTTGAATTAAAAATGAACTTGCATCAGTACAGGCACATTTCTTTCCTCCTGTCTATGTTATTTATTGATGTTGCAAGCCAGATGAATAGAAGTAAAGAGCTGAGAACCTGATCTTTGAACAGACAGAGAACATAGGTCAGGAGCAGCCTGGGATGCTTACTGAGGAGTATCCAATGATGATATCCCAGACAATCACTTTTTTCCATGGATGTAACATGCAAGTACTGGCCATATCTTGAAACAAAAAGCTAATAAGAAGCTGTCCTGAGCTCCAACACCTGCTTAAAAAAATGAAGCCATTTCTCTCAATTTTCCATGGTAAACCCCATGAATGTAAGGTAAGGAACACTGACCAGGCATTGAATAGCCTTGCTGGTACATACTGCATAAACATCTTTGACACAGTTGATGTTGTTTGTGCATGTTTGTGCAGACACAGATGGACACAAAGCTTGTGCCAAGGCTCATCGCAAGATCAGAAAGGAGAAACCATCTTAGCATTGGCTTTAGAAGATGTTGGTCACTTGAAGACTGATACAGACACAGAAGTTCTGTCTTTGGAAGAGATCCTGTCCGGTGTCTCTTGGCATGTTTGACTGGGGTGGGGATGTACTGTCACAGGGTGAATTAGTTAAACTTTTAGACTTACCGCATTAGTTCTACGACCAGGGATTGATTTTGTGTACTACATTTCCACCAATCTAAATAACAAGAAAAGGAAAAAAAAAACTATTTTAAAAACAAAAGAAGAAATGAAGTCAAAGCGTGTACACTTGAAAACTGAAAACTAGTGTGGTGACTGTCATATTTTATAATCCTTCTAAACTTTACTCTTTACATGGATTTAGACATTTTCTCAAATTAGCTTAACATTGATTTTAACCACTTTACAATGGCCACATAAATGGAAACTAAGCCCAAAACAAGTTGTCTTTGCTTATAAACAGTCTATATAGTTTTTCTGTTTCTGTGAGAATTTTGACATTTTAGGGCTGGACTCCTTAAGTCGCAAGTTCAGTTTTCTTCTGGGTTCGATTCTCGGCCCGAGGTCTTTCTGCATGGAGTTTGCATGTTCTCCCTGTGCATGGTGGGTTCTTTCAGGGTTCTCCGGCTTCCTCCCACAGTCCAAAAACTTACTTACTTCTCTTCATCTGGCTTGCAACAGCAATAAATAACATAGACAGGAGGAAAGAAATGTGCCTGTACTGATGCAAGTTCATTTTTAATTCAAGTAAATGACCTACCTGCAATCAGTGTATTCAGACAGGGTTCATAAACAAAACTATAAAGATCATCACAGCCTAGGGGCACTGATGTTTTTAGGAACAGTCCAATTTTACAAAGTGGCAACAACAAGCATGACTATAAATACTATTTATGTGACTTTATCACGGCTAATTAAACGTATTAAGCACAGGTACAATTAGCCTCTAAGAGGCTAATTTAGCTAGCTTGCACCGTATATTCTCCGGCAAAAAAATGTTACAAACGTGTCTTCAACCATTCGCATCACAGTCCTACTGCCATTAAGTCCTAAAACTACAATCAGAAACTTTATAACGTGACACTTTGGAGTTATTTTTGGTTTTGGAGTACAAAAACATTTTGGCAGATGCAGGTTTCTACTCACCGGAGTGTAAGTGTAGTATATGATGACGTCAGCTTATTCTTCTTCTTGGGTTTTTGTGAGATCCGTCCTTATTTTTATTATTTCAATCAAAAATATTAAACGTTTACAGAACAGTTTGCATGCAATCACAAAAGAAAAATACATCTGAATTTTTCTTAAATTGATTTGGTGTAAATCATTGATATCATACTCAAAAATAGTTGGTAAATAAAAAAAGGCTTTTAAATCAAGTTACAACCACCACAAAAACCCTCCGGTTTTATATTTGACTGAGTTATGTTTAAATACCCAATTAAAGTCCTTTGACCGATACGTCTGGCATGTATTTGTAGTAAATATTCTTAATATCCTGTTCAAACTAGCACATAAATTGTAAATAAAGGTTGTTTTTTTTTTTAAATAGAATAGACTCGTCATCTTATTCGTTCCTAGATTGTCAGTATCGGACGCATAGGGAGCGGTACAGCATTCAATGAGAGAACCCTTCTCGTCAATTATTGACGCATATTGACCCTCTGCGTCAATATGTGACAAGTTGGGAGTGACAATGTGTTGCTCTTTCAATCACTGCACTGCAGCTGCAGAGAAAACTTGGAACTTTAACTTTATCATTCTGCCCCAGTGGTTCGCTACAGGCAGCCTGAGTCGGAACCACCAACAGATATAAAGAATGTCTGTCAAACATTCTGTTATAAAGAAACACAGGGCCGTGCAGAGACCTTTTGAGGGGGAGGGGGCTCAAAGTTAAAAAATGGCACATTGAACAAGATCTTAAAACACCGTACAACAACATAGCAACAACCCATATTAATCAATAATTTAATTGGATCCTACTATATCATTGCCATCATGTGGGGACAATGCAAAGCAAATGTAGTATATTTTCCCCAACAGGTATAGTGTTACTGTTTCTGCTGCTGACAGTCCTGGAGGACTGAGTTGAACTGAGACTGTAGCTGTTAAACAGGGTTAATTTGCTGCCATTTTACTAATTAAGCCCTAATAATATCTATTTAACCTCTACAACAACTTGACTGCAGACTGCTTTATAGATCTAAAAAGCTCAAAGGGGTTAACTCTATATATTTTTAGCATCTCTGAGATCTAGAATTGTAAAACTGGGATATCAAGGCAAAGAAAACTCAGTAGCGGCTGGTAAGGCCCTCCAGACATTCAGGGGCCCCTAGAAATGGTTTAATTGTAAAACAGACCATAGATCTAAACCTGTAGCATTAATTTATAGAGAATGACAGTGTTATTGAATTTTATTTAATGCATTCACCTGAGAATTTTTTTAAACATTTTGGATTTAATTAGTTTACTTTGTAAACGTGTGAGGAATCATCTTGATAGTTTGTTGCGTTACCATGGCTACAATATGGTGTAACCTTTGTGTTTGAGTGGGGTTTGTTCACAAATACATCACAGCAAACAACCAAAGTGAAGTCTGTGAGAGGGAGACCAGGTCACTGATTGATTTTAAACTCGGCCAAGAAACCTGGTCTCCCTCTCACAGACTTCACCTTATCTATATTTAAACGTCAGTGATGCTGAGGTTCTTAGTAGGAAGGGTTTCGGGGGGCGGGAGGGTTCTGTCTAAGGCCCCATATTACCTTGGTCCGGCCCTGCATGAACAGCTGCTGCGATGCACATCTCTGGAATCTACCAGGAATCCCCCGGTGACCCCTACACCAGGCCGCTGATGCTTTGGGGACATTTTGATTCATTTAATTGTAGCATGTTTGGCTTTATGCTGCAGTTCTAATTATTGCTACAGTATTTTTGCTGATGTTTATTTAGTGAACTCCAATTGCTATGGGCCGAATTTTCCTCACTTGACGTTCTGCAATAATTAATATTTACAGCCGCTCACCTCTAGCCCAGATCCCGTCTGCAGCGGCTTTAACCCCTTTAACCCCGGCTTCAAGGAGAAGGAGAGCGAACAGAGAGCAAGTGGTACCAGGTGGTACCGGGGCTTTGAGGTGCGTCGCGACTCGCGGTGACAGTCGCAGTACCGTGTCTTATGTCAGGATGTCTGATATAAAGACATTCTTTAACCTGTTATTCACGAGAGGACCCAAATTTGGGTCCTCTCGTGACAGAGGTGTCAAACTCCAGTCCTCAAGGGCCTCTGTCCTGCAACTTTTAGATGTGCCTCTGCTGCACCACACCTGAAAAGAATAATTAGGTCATTAGCAAGGCTCAGGAGAACCGATCTACACAGGGAGGAGGTAATTAAGCTGCTTCATTCCACTGTTTTTTACCTGTGGCACATCTAAACACTGCAGGACAGCGGCCCTTGAGGACTGGAGTTTGACACCCCTGTCATTGTGAATGACAACCTATGAACAACAGGTTAAAGACGTGCGGTCAAGGTAGGCAGGTGAGGCAGAGCCTCACCTGTCATCATGGAAAACTAATATATAATAATAAAATCATTTATATTGCTATTTTC